ATGCCAGCCAAATAACTCAGCGGACTAAAGTGCCTGCTTAGGTAGACACAGTGGCCAGAGTCGACCCCCAGTGTACACTGCAGCCCCACCCCCAGGGCGTGCTGAGAGAGCGATTGAAACTGGGCATGGTGGCACTCACCTGTAATCCCAGCTCTTGGGAGGTTGAACACAGGATAATCACTGTGAGTCCAATCTATGTAGTAAGACCCTGTAGACCCTGTATTAAAATACAAAAACAAACAAACAAACAAAATAGCCACGATCACTGAAAGACATGAAACAAAACAGAGACAAAAGGAAAATTAAATCCCAAGTATGTTCCCTCTTATCTCAGTAATAACTACAGTGCTGTCTCCTGGAAATAGCTGTGCGATTCTGGGCAGGTTACTTCCCTCTCTGTGCCTCAGTTACCTCCCCTGTACGGTGCAGATGACAGGATGTGACCACCTCTTTGGGTCCTTATAAGGACTAAAATGCAATGGATCTGTCCAGAGCACTTACAACAGCATCGGATACAGAACAAGAGCTAGCTTTGTGGACCTAACATTTGCGGTCCTATAAAGAATAGTGCCCAGTTTTGCCTGCTGTTCTTTAGTTCTGTTCCCATTGTTACAGCATCCAGAAGCCTCCCCTAAGTCAGTACCCACAGGTCTGCATCCTGCCGGACCGCATAGAGCATTGCCCTGTGGAGATGTAGCCAATCCCCCAACACATGCCTTTCTGTTACTTCCGGATTTCCAGATTCACCCACTCGCCCTCAGGATCCTTGGGGTAGAAGGGTGTGGACTACTTCCCTTCAACGTGGGGTTCATGACATGCTTATTAGACACTGCGACCAAGCAGGAGAGGGGTGCAGTGGGGTTAGAATCAGGCATGTGGGAAATCCTTCTAGCTTTATGTTTGAAAGTTCTCCTAATAAGATATTTAGGGTAGAAGAGAACAGGCACTATCCTTGCCCTGGTGTGACTTGTGTGGTCTCACCAATGAATGGGATGAGCATTAATCAAAAAATCATTCCAATAAATGTAAAACTTGAATGGTTATAATTTCTGTAAAGAGTGCAGGGCTCAGTGTGGTCAGGGAGGACAGGGCATCCGTAGGATGAATAGGAGTTGTCTGCCAAAGAACAGAGAGGAGAGCGTTCTGGGCAGAGAGAGGTGGGGGGGGAGAACACATTGAGACTAAAAGAAATTGGGGAGGTGAAAGAGGCCACTACAAGGGGTTGGAAGAGCTGTGAGAAGCCATGCAAGGCCTGGTGAGAAACCCTGCTTTTTTCCTAAGAGTAGCAAGAAACCTATGAAAGGTTTCAAGTGAAGAATTAAAGGACCAGGCTTGCAGGATGAGGACCTCACCTTGGCCCCGAGGGGACAGAATATACCAGAGCCACCAGAGAACATAGCAGTGATCAACGAGTGACCACCTGGGATGTAAGGGAAGGTGACACTGGCCACATAAGGACAGAGGCGAGGAAGGAGAGAGAAGCTTCAGGCACCTTCAGGCGGTAAATCAGCAGCCCCCTGCGCTGGAGTTGGGCTCTGCTGGAAGGGAAGTGATAGAAAGAGTTCTGTGTGCCTTCCGGGTGTCTGAGTGTGCGTAAGGGCTGATGCGCTTTCCTCCCTAACACGAAGAGGAAGGAGGGCTGGGCGGCCCAGAGGAGGCAACCGTGGGAGGTGGCCATGGGCTTCCAGGACAAGGCCACGAGAGCCGGAGCCACTCCATCGGGAGGAGGTAGGCAGATGCCAGTGGTGTGTCCTGGCTCACGGGGAGTGTGCTGTGCACACCCCAAGTAAATGCCTGAGGGGTGCACGGAGGCACACGCAGGTGTGAAGCCCTGGGCGTGCACAGGAAGTGGAAAGCAAGGGGTGGGAAGGCGCACCCAAGGTCACACCTTGAGGAACTTGCAGCTCCTTGCGAACTCGCAGCAGCAGGCTGCACGAACTGGATATTCTCACAGCAGTAGAGCCTGACGTTTCTGTCCCCCATAGAGAAGGGGGCGGGGAGTGAGTTTTCTCTCAGGCGCTTCAACAGCCCGGGTGCTCCACAGCAATCCAGAAGGTGGTATAAAGTTCTCCAAAACAGGCAAAAGCCAAAATAAGGTTGATTTTTTTTTTTTTTTTTTTTTTTGTAAGTGCCTTGCTGTAGCATGGAGAAAGGGGAGTTATGAGGGGTGTAAGGGCGGGGGGCTGGCAGGTGGCAGGGCTGGTGTCCTCCTCGCTGCTGTCACTGTCACCAAGGCAGAGTTGGGCCCCTACAGGAAACCAGGTAGTACATGGAGCAGCCTTCAGGTTGTTCCTCCACGTTGGAGCTGCAGTGACAGCTGGATCATGCCACCTGTGCACGTCCCCTCCTCCCTCCCAGGACCATCTCAGTCCCCGACGCCTGCGTCTGTAAACCTATCCATATGTCATGGTAAAGAAATGTGGCTGCGAAGTTAAGCTGTCGGGCCAGCGATGCCAGAGAGGGTGAGACAGACTGGCTGTGGGCAGCATTTGTCAGGCCTGCCATTCCCTCTCCTGATTGTGCAGAGCTGTGAGAGTCGAGTGACATTAAACTAGTCCCTGCAGAATTCCCCTGCTGTGAGTACTTACTGGGGATCCCCAGGGGGACCTTAGAATGCAGGTCTCCTGTCTCGCCGCCCTAATCCCCAGCTAGTCTCTCGAGTAGTGCTGTGTGGGGCACCTGTTGGCACACGCTGGGCTAGTGACCCTGTCCGGTGCTTACAATCACTTGGCTCTAAGAAGTCAGGGAGGAAAGGTTGGAGAATACAGCAGAAAGGTTAGTGAGGAGGACCCATCCTTCATCCACTCAGCAAGAGTGGGTGGCCAAGCTATTTTCTCTTCAGGTACGAGGCCCCAAAGTCAAAAAGAAAGAGATGAGCTAGAGAATCTCATTCATCTCTCCTGGGGTCCCTAATTCCTAGCACAGAGAAGAGGAGCAGAGAAGGAGGACATGTTTACCTTAGGAAATAACCAGTCTTACCTCCAGGCTGCCCTCTCAGAATCAAAAGTAGCTAGCACCCTGATGGATCTCCAGAAGAAAGGGGTCATGGGAAACACAAGGTCAGGATCACAGAGCCTCCGGTGTGACCCTACTACATGACTGTTTTAGGCACCATGGAGCCTCCTTTTTCTGCCTTCAGAATGGACTGTGGTAGCGCCTCCCTCCTGGGGCAGGCTGGAAGGCTCAGCTACACCGGTGGGAAGTCCTGTGGCTGGTGAGAAGCACAGGAAGCACTCGGAACCACCTTCTCCAGTGGCCCCCAAAGACAGCTTTGGGGCCAGTTCCCTCATTTCTGTAGTGGGGATAATGGGTCCTTCCTCGTACAGCTGTTCTGAGGGGAAACTTAGATGGTTATGAAAGATGCTGGGAGTGGCATTAGGAATACCAGTGATGGTGTGTAATGACCTCCCTTGTCACTGCAGTCACTGTTGCCACCCTCACCTTCGGCCCATCATCACGGCCATCACCACCTTTAACATAGCCACACCCTTGTCACCACGGTCAACACCATCATTACCATCACCGACATGGTCACGAACATCACCTTCCTCTTCCCCTTCCTCCTCTTCCTCTCCTCATTTCTTCTTCCTGATATTGGGGGACTAACCCAGGGCCTTCACACTGACTGACACCTCTAGCCCTGCTCTTACTTTCTTGTTTGGAAAGAGGATCTTGCTCAATTTCCCACACTCACTCAGACTTGCAGTCTTCCTGCCTCAGCCTTGGAGACTGCTGGAGTTACAGGCGTGCA